ACATAATACTGAATGATAATATATCTGTGTTGCATTACAGCGTCTGACTGCTGCCACCAAGGAGCTAAAACACAGACGTGCAATCAAATTAAGAACAAAAATATCATCAGCAAAAAGTCCTTAAAGCTTTAACCTTAAAATAAGTTTTTATCTAGAGATCACACCGTCTGTGTTACATCATACGCTGTCATTTATCACAAGAATAATGACGATAATAATCTATTAAAGGCTCATTCTGATCAATAAAAAACCAAAACAGTTGTAGCTCATTGAGATGAATTCACTTTTAACGACAGAAAACAACTCTTTGAACTCTTTATGCCGCCCTGAGCTGACTGTCCTGCTCAGATCTATCTGCTGCCACCACACTGAGCTGCAGCTTGTTGGTCTTCTGCAGCTATCACGACGTCTCTTGCGGCTCCAGTTCTGACCCGTTAGCTGCTCTACGGACTGCGTTTAGCTGCTAGAATCTTTATCCATTCATCACTCTTCGTTAACTAATTACACGTTTTGTTTGTGAATTTGAATTTTACTCGAACGTTGTGGAGTGAAGACGTTTAAGCTCAACACTCGGCATCTACTCTGATTTTTTTTGTTGTTTGGTGATTTGTGATCCGTCCTTTTATAGAGTCACAGTCGAGGTAAAACCAAAGAGCATCTTAAAATAACTTCACATATATCACTGCTGGCCCGGTTCGATTGTCCGTCCTACAGAGTATCAGCGTCTCAGCCCGCCTCTGTCATCGAAGCGAGACTAATCCACTTTTCAAAGCTCCATGTTACATCCCAGCTGTAAGTCTTTAAAACAAACAGGGAAAGAAAGGAAAAAAAACACTTAAAATATACTCGTTCCAGCTCTTTTTTCATCTCCTCCTCTACTGTTTCTCTCCACTTCAGATTTTTTTGTTCCTGCAGGTCGAGCTGTTGTTAATCTCTCCTGGTCACTGTGTGGTGTGTAATTTATAGTGTTTCCTCTTAACACCGTGAGCTGACCCTCGTCATCCCAGTCCATAAAGAGGCAGGGAAGGTGCCCTGTCGCTTTACAGCCACTTAAATCACACTTTGATGTTGCCCCCTCGTTTTCAGCTGTGAATTAATAGCTGTCCGTGCTGAACCCACAAGAACGTCGTATGCTCGCCGACGAGGCCTCGATGTAATAATCGTGTGAGACATATCTGATACAAACACATCAGAATTAAACTCTGAATTGTTGTGTCGTGTAAATTCAGACTTGTATATAAACTGGTGTCATTGTGGAGTCTGGTGGAAATATTTACATGGAAATTAATGCTCAGCTCGATCCAGAGCGTGTTTTAATCTCTGCAGAACTTTCTCTGTGTTCTGCACGCTGAGCTGCAGACCCGTCTGTCTTCGCTGAGCACAGTAATTGGAACAGATGCGGACTGTTGGATCCACTGCAGTGAAAATAGAACATTCTGTGGTTGCAACTAAAAACATTTTGCATGGCATTTTCAACTTAAAAAAAAGAAAGAAAGAAAGAAAGATGGGTTTGTGAGTTTGCTGGATCGCTGTTGGGACGTGTTGCACATGCAGTAGTGCAGGTGTGAGCTGAAATAGTGAAGAAGCTCTTTGCACTGGTGAGCAGAGTGACAGAGGGTTTGATGTAGCATATGTTTCACTCCCTCTGCCTCTTTCCAAGAAGATGGTATCCTGACGAGCATTGTTTGCAGCGAGACCTTCTCGTGTGCCTCGTACATATGGCTTTCCCTGCAGGAGGGCGCGCTCGCTCTCGTTCACCTTGGGCAGAGCTGGAAAGCAGCACATCGCACGGATAACAAGCACGAGACTGTCACAATATCCTGCTCCTGCCAAAAAAACATCAGTGATGCCGTATAAACAAGTGCCTTTGATCAGGGGAAGGCCCCATGATTCAAACAGCCCGACAGCTCTGGCTTTGTGGGGACTGTGGGTGCCGGCCAGGGAAATATGATTAAATAACTCTATAGTATTTATGTTGGGATAAAACACATTTACTCCCTTCAAACTCAACAGGACGCGTTAGTCATGAGCGGTGAGGAAATGTTGCAGGAATTAGACCCCCAGCGAGCGATCCGCCACCAGAACTCAGCTCCTCGGTCCGAGTCCAGCTCTGTTAGACAAACATGGGAGGAACCTGAGCCTCGCTGTCGACGCTGAACTCAATCTGCTCTGATACACGAGGCGTCGGGAACATACTGCAGGATTCAGACGGGTTTTATCCTCGTCCCGCAAAGCTGAATAAAGTAAAATAAAATCAGTGCGGCGGCTTTATTTGACAACGGATGCATGTGCAGCTGCTCGGAGGACGGCTTCAGTCAGAGCGCATAAAAACATGATGTGTTAGCAGACGAGAGCATCAAACGTCGGTTCTGTTTCAGTCCACAAACTGAAATGGGTCCATGTTAAAAACTGTCAGGTGCCGAACACTGAATTTCACGCTACTTTTGCGTTTATTTCTGGTGCTTTGCCTGCAAGAAAAGTGCAGTTTGTTCATGCGTTTATAAAATAAGCACGATGAAAAATAAGAATTTTTATGATCAGAACTGACAGTTGGATGTTATATTGGTGCTGCTATCAATAACCAAACAGCCCAAACAATTACATCGTACAATTCTGAGTTCTCGATAAATCCTTTAAAAAAAAACCCAGTGTGTATATTTAATGATGCAGTTAGAATTGGGTCTTAACTGGTCTGACATCAGTGCGTCTGGAAAGAATCATCCTCCATCCGCCAAAGCATTAAAATAATAAATAATATAAATATATAATGAACAAAACACATTTTCAACAAAGGATTTAAAACAGATGAAAACTATGTTTCTAAATACAGAGTCAGTAATAAACACATATGTGTCGGGTGCTTCTACACCTGAAGAGAAAAGAAAAACCAGCAGTTTAAAGGAAGGTCAGAGGTCACGAAATGGGAATAAAATAAAAGTTCTCTAAAGATGGAGCCACAAGTTACAGGAAGTTATGGACAGACATGATGTTTAGCATCATACAGGCGTCACACACACACACACACACACACACACACCACCAACCAGGCTGTCCTTAATAATACAGTTTTAATCTTTAGATCTGCAGCTCGGCAACGTAATCGGTCGCTTATCCATAAATCCTGTTGATGTAAATGATGCAGCAGAAAGACTCACTGGAGCGCATCTAGAGAGAGAGTCGGTGTCCGACAAGTTCAGCTCACCTTGTCGCACATTACCCAACATGGCTGTGAGCTGAGGGTCACCGAGAGCGTGTGTGTGTGTGTGTGTGTGTGTGTGTGTTTGTGCTGACTGAGCGCTGTGAATCGCACGAGGAGCTCACATGAACACAAACACCTCCTGGTCCTAACCTGACAAATTGCTGGACGAGCAGATGAGCAGAGACGTCCTCGTCCCTGAAAATAACTTCACCTCAGATGATACGGAGCAGCAGGAAGGTGCAGCAGCGCTCTGAGTCCAGTCCCAGAGAGAGACAGCTTCCATTAAGCAGCGTGAAACCACGGTCTGCGCACACATCCCCCACAATGGGAATGTGCATTAATCAAAAGTTGCACATGGGTTAGCTGAGCGACGGGCAGCAGCAGCAGCAGCAGCAGCAGCAGAGCTCCCAGCTCAGACGAGCACACTGGCACAAACACGGCCGTGGAAATTTATGATCAGAGAGCTGCCTGAGGTTTAACAGTTAAACTGCAGCCTTGAAGGAAGCGAATGTGTGTGTGATTGAGAAAGAACGAGAGCTGCAAAGATCTTTATCAGGGTTTGCATGACTAAAGTGTTCCACGGCGATTTATACTTCGACGGTCGCGCTGCCAGGTGACTCTGCAGCCGCATGACAGACTGCAGCCACATGCAGGTCTGATGAACAGCATCTGAGAGAGTGTGTGTGTGTGTGTGTGTGTGTTGGTGTGTGTTTATGTGCGAGTGGATTGCGCTGATGGTTGAGGAGGGCACGCCGTAAAAAATCGGCAACTTTCTGTCAGTGTCAAATTATGGCCAGGGTGTCTGTTCTCAGCGGATGATCTACGAACTACAACTGGATCCTGTAAGCAGCCAGTGATCCAGACCATCAATTACGCAGCGCGATAGACAAACACAGCCTCGCACATGCTCAGCAAGGCGCACCAACACATTTCACAATTGTCACAGAATTTCCCCACAAGGACCGAGAAATTCCTTTGTTCCACCCTATCAGAGGCCGTGAGTTACTGCGTTGACCCGACAAATAAATCATCGGCGCTGCCAGAGCCAAGTGACGGGACGCTGGAGTTCTGCTCGAATACAGGCACAATCAGTTTTATTTGTTTGGCTGCGGATGGTGCTGACAAAATGAACAATGATCGTCCCCAGTGGCAAATATTGTAGGAGAACAATATTTAATTATTCTCAGATCAGAAAGAGTTTTAATCGGTGTGGTTCTGAGCGGGACCTGTTGGATTTATAATCCAGATAATTCTAGAAAGCTGAGCGAGACCACAGCAGTACGGCAGCATTTATATCCAGTAGTTATGGATATGTGAGATGTATAGTCCTAAAACTCTGTTTAACCAAAAGCTTTTCTAACAAAGCGTTGTAAAAACAAACCGCCAAAACCCGGTTTTACTGCTCCAAACACGGCGCCAAAAGAAGGGAACCTTTGAAGTCCGAATATTAACGGCTTTCCCCTTATTGTCTGATTCGCTTGGAGGATCCACACATGACTCCCATCAGTTACCTGCACATCGCAGCCTTAAATCTTGAAGAATGGCAGCAGGACAAAATGCATTAAACACACATTTATCTTATTTTACTTTTATATCCTGTCCACTGGAAGTGACAGATGTGTCTATAACGGCCAGATTCTAACAATCTCTTTTTGCTCGACATCATGAAGCGACTTCTCGCTGATTTGCTTTATTTTCACATTCGTCTTCAATTACAAAAAGCTGTTTGGACTCCGTCCCTTTAACCCGAATAAAATCTCTCCTAACTCTGGTTTGTTTCACCTTCTTCTCACCTCTGCAGGTAAAGACAGTTCAGGTCTGACTGACTCTGATTTGGGCCCCGACTCTGACCCACCTGGGATGGACGGCAGATACCTGGCTGTGAAGGATCAGGGCGTCAAGGCGGCCTCCGATCGGCCGCCGGGCAGTGACTTAGCGAGCCCCATGGACAAGGCTGACGGTGGCGAGAGCAACAAAGGCAAGAAGAGACGCAACCGCACCACCTTCACGAGCTACCAGCTGGAGGAGCTGGAGAAGGTGTTCCAGAAAACACACTATCCTGATGTTTACGCTCGAGAGCAGCTGGCGCTGAGGACCGACCTGACTGAAGCCCGAGTGCAGGTAACGCAGGACACTCAGCAGCTCCACTCCAACAGCTGATAGATCTAAAAAGAAGCACAACACAGCGTTTCCAATCACAGCAGCGGTCTAATCAGGGCAGCAGCCGCATGCAGCCACATGCCGGTGCTATCAATAAGTTAGAAAGCAGCTCTCCATCACACAGAGCAGCGCTTAAACAACACAGCCTCATGGATCCTTCAGCATCTGCCGCTCTGCAGAGATAACGTCACTCACAGAACAACATGAGAGATTTATCTGGTAATGTGGGAGTCGGGGGAGAGCGTGGGGGAGTGGGAGCTAGCAGAGGCCAAGGGGCCCAGGGGGCTGAGGTTGGAGCTGCCTGGGCCTCATATGTGCCGTTTTAGGAGAGCAGACTTTCATCAACATATGAGGAAACCCGCTCGACTCCGCTCTGCTTCCATTTGATCCTCTCACTGGCTTTTTTTTTCTTTCTATGGACCCAAACTGTTTCGTTTCTTGAATTTGTGAGCTCATTTCTGCTGGTATCCGTCCAGCCCGACTTCCACAGCGTCTCTCCGGCCCTCCTACCCCATTAGCATACAAACAGGTCACGAATTCCAGCGCCGGCGAACGGAGAACGAGCCCTCCGCCATGTCTGCACCGCGCCTGTGTGTGGTGTATGACCAGCAAAGCCCCGGGATTTTCTCTGTTTTTCTTTCATTAACATCCTGTTCAGACAAGAATGTGTCCCCGCTGTGGTCTCCAGGGTAGGTGTGAAACCCCTCCCGTCGGCTTTGGGAAAGTCGGCCGTGGATATTTCAAGTCACGTCTATTTTGACCAAATCGATTCAGTTTTTGCTAAATCGATGCACAGATTCAATAGCTGCGGCTGACGTGTTTGACGTGTGGCGGGTTGAGATGAGGGCTCGATTAAAGCCCATCTTCTACGTGATGGAGCTGGTTGGGCGACCGGCGAAAGCTCCACGGTGAAAGTCAGGAAGTCTGTGCAGCCACGGGGCCATAACTCAAGCCCGGGTCTCTGAAGGTATGCCGCTCTGCTGGGCTCTGCTGCTCGTGCTATCACAGACCTGCCCGCCTCAGATGGATGCAGCTTTACAGCCCTCGGCCTCCCTGCGGCCCTCTTAAACACTCAAGTTGAAAAGATAAAAGACACGAGATGCCTTGTCAGTCAGAGAACGGGGCTCTGTGCTCTGTTCAGGTCATTCACACGCACAAGAGCTCACAGTTCATCAATTCAGCATCTGGAGGAAAAAAAAAAAAAGGTGCACCACTGATAAAAACAAAACCTTTAAAACTTGCAAGAATTTTTTGTTTTATACATAAAACTAAAAAGTGCCTGAGAGTGACGTTAAAAAAAACAAAACCAGGAGACTTTAAACAACATGAAGGCTCGGAGTTGTTTGCTTTTTTAGTCTCAGGGTTTCAAAGGAAGAGACCAGGTCCAGATCTGAGTCATACATACACTACATGGGAAGGTCGGGGGTCACAGGGTCACGGGCTTCAATAGCATCTCATCTCTCAGATTTGCTCTCCCGTTAGTCCAGAGAGCCGAGACGGCATCTGATGGAGTTCACCGAACGCAGGCGTCCAAACTCGTTTATAGATTTAACCAGTTACAGGAAGAACCTGATCCGACCAGCTGGAGCTCAGAGGAGACAAACAGAGGTTCAGTCCTGAGCTGCAGGAATAAGTTTTTATGACCACCATGGTCACCGAGAGCATTTTAAACAAGGCTTTAATGCACTCAGACTGGACATCAGGCGTACACGTGTAGTATTTGGACAACAGAATAAAAATCTGCAGCTAATAATTAATTTACGATTTAAGTAATTTTACATGCAAACATCTAAAACGGTTTCAGCTCTTTAGTCACAAGAACATTCGTCTGACGTGATGCAAAAGGTTTTTTATTTTGTTAGAACAATTTGAAGCACCATGAAGATATGAAAGAAAAACTGTCGTTTTATAGATTAAATATTAATTCAAGAAGCTTCAGTCAACAGAAATCAGTTAAACACACATCTAGACATGGACGATATTAAAGCTTTTAAAGCAGGTTTTTGACACTAAAAACAGCTTCACACTAATAAACAAGGACAGCGGCCCTGTTTGGGTGCAACACCTACAGAAAAACATAAAAGCTGGAATCCAGTCCTGTGATATTCGTCTTTCTGTCTCATCCACTAGTGTCCTCAGCTTACCTCTAATCAACTCTGGAAATTAGAAATAACGAGGCGGAGGACTTTGGAAGAAAAGAGAACTTAGATTTAAGGGACGGCGGCTCTGGTCAGAGGTGTTTGGCCGATATTACGAGCGCTTTGGGGGTGTTGGAAAACCGGAGCCAGGCTCAAGCCTCGGATTTGGTTCTACTTTGGTTTGGAAGCTGACATGAGTGACAGCAGAGGCGGGTTATCAATCCTCTGAGCCGCTCTCTCACTTCAAAGTGTTCTCAGCCCCGTACAGCTCTCCTGCTGAGGCCGGCTCGCCGCTTCTCTGCTCTTTCTCTCTGGGGCTGTAACATAAATAAAGCCTCATTGAAAGTCCACCAGCTACTTAAGCTGTCAAGGTCTTTACCAATTACTGTCACGACGCAGTGTGTGCAACACAAAAATATGTTCTCCCCGTATAATCGCCAACAGACTTGGCACAAAGACCGAAGCAGATGAGAGCTGCTGGCGACACCGTGGATCGTGACCATATCTGCAGTTTTCCACGACAATACCTCACCGACGTGCGCTAATGTGTAATTACCGTAATGATGGTAAAGCGACCTTTGTTAGAGAGCGAGCGATCTGGTTCTGGGTCGGGGATCAGACGGCGGAGGAAGATGTATGAAAACATCAAGGAAACGGGGATTACCTCCTCCGCTCTGTGTGCTTCTTTAATTTAGACGGAGACAGCATCTCAAAGCCACGAGTTTTAGGCTTCAGGAAATTAAAAAGGAAAATGCAAACAAACCCTGCTTATAATCCCATCTCACTTTTCAATTTCCTATATCGCCTCCTTAGATTTATAGGGAAGCATCTGAGCGGAGAGCAGATACAGGAAATACGAGATATCGTATCAGAAACACGTCAGACAGAAACGTTTTTGTCGCTGTTTTTTTTTTAATATATATTTTTTCAATCGGTCCACGCTGGAAGTTAGATGGAGATCACATGGCACATTTAGACGTGAGGTTTTGAAGGCGAGCGTGGCATCCAGCGTCCAACAGAGATGGTCGTGTTCAGGTTCCTTTTACTCTGACGGTAACTTAAACACACTAATGCTCTCAAGGCGCCGGATTTAAACACCAAAATGACGACAGAAATCAAAAAACTCTCCGTTCCTGTCGGACAACAAATAAAAAAAGATTTTATTTACACGTGACGGCTGCAGACGTTTCCTCTTTCAGTTAAAACTCAGAAAACTTCTGAGTTCTTGTTCACACTCGTGTTTTTAAAGGAGATTTTTTTCTCTTTTTTATGCGCCGCACATAATATTTGTGATATTCAGCAGAACTGCATCGGTTTCATTTTCCCATTTGAAAGGGAAGCTTAGATGAGTATCTACAGAGAAGAATTTCCTTTAGATGTGCAGAGAAAGGTCCCGTTCAGGATTCAGGCCTCCCAGAACTCCCCCTTCATGTCGGGCGCAGACGTCGAGCCAGATGAAAGCTGTTTTCTTGGATAAAATGGGAAACGTTGCTGCGACTTTCATCAAACGGTTTTAATCTGCAGGTGTGGTTCCAGAACCGAAGAGCCAAGTGGAGGAAGAGGGAGCGCTTCGGTCAGATGCAGCAGGTCCGGACACACTTCTCAACGGCCTACGACCTGCCGATCCTCACGCGTCCTGAGAGCTACGCACAGGTACACGACCAGAACCGCAACACAACACCTCAGTCTGCTGTCGGCAAAACCCAAACGTGTTCTTAAAAATAGATTTCTTTTGCTTCTACTTCAGTCATTTCTCCTGCAGACTGGAAACGATTCAGGCTGCAATAAAATTTACATTTAATTGCTTTCCGTTTTGTCAAAAAAAAAAAAAAAGTTGATGCAGGTGGCAGCAATAAAAGAAAAAACCCAGTGGTTGCTTTTAAAGGAATAGTTCAACATTTATGGAGAAATGTTTGCTTTCTGTTGAGAGTAAAGAAAAAAAGGTAATAACTGTTTGATGAGCAGCTACTTAGAGATGATAAAGAACTAGATTCTGACTAACAGCACCTCCATATGTCACTGATAAACATACTGCATGATGTCTGATTCATAAAAAGGCAGTGAAGTCTAAAAACAACAGTTTGTGTTTTTTTCTGAATTTATCTGCTGGAAATGTTTTTTTTTCTTTTTTGTTCTTTTTTAGAGGATTACAGCGACATCTTTGTTTAGTTTCTAACTCGTCCAACATGTTTTGCTGATACTACTTTAGATATTTTACAATTTAAATTTTAAGTTTGTTTCCATCATGTGACTGCAGCTGAGTCATGAAGGACAAAGCACAGAATTCTTTGTTTTTTACAAAATCTTATTAGAGAAGCAGTTTAAGTTTTAAATAGGACATTTAGAATAAAGTGATTTTGATTAAACGTCATGACTTTGAGTTTAGATTTTGGCGTGTTCTGACTAAACCGTACGTCCAGGATGATCCGTTTAACATCCTCAGTGAAGCTGAAAATCCAACAGTTCTTCCTGTTTTTAGTTTCAGGCTGATAAATGGTACAAGTTTGGTGATTTGTATTAATGATATCGTGCCTGCTGAACCCACCGGCTGGTTTTGGGGTTCAAAGAGTAAATGAAAACATCAGAACTACCCAGTGAGGCTAAATGCCACCATTCTGTCCCCCTCTAACCTCCAGATTCAGAACCCTTCCTGGATCGGCGGCAGCAGTGCGGCGTCTCCCGTGCCGGGCTGCGTGGTGCCCTGCGACACCGTGACTCCCTGCATGACGCCTCACCCCCACTCTGCCAGCGGGGTGTCCGATTTTCTGGGCGTACCGAGTCCCGGAGGCCACATGGGACAAGCCCACATGGGCAGCCTGTTCGGAGGATCCCCCGGCATGGCCACAGGCATCAACACGTACGATCTCAACATGGACCCGGACCGCAAGTCCTCCAGCATCGCCGCTCTGCGCATGAAAGCCAAAGAGCACAGTGCAGCCATATCCTGGGCCACATGATGTGCTGATCCGTGCTGGATGGGGGGGCGGGGGGCGCCTCAAACGTCTAAACAAACCCAGTGCGGGTTGAGGAGGCACTAAAATCAGAACTCTAAAGGCAACAGTGACTACCTTCAAAAATGCTGCAATAAAAAGATTATGTAAAGAAAAAGAAAAAAGAAAAAAAAGATTTGGCAGAACAAGCGGCGCCGTGTTTGTCGGAGCCTCTGGTGGGAGAAAGCAGCCGGCGGAGCTCCGTGGACGCCTGGTGGGAGGCGATGCTGTGGAGCAGGAGGTGCCGTAGTACTGAAGAAAAGTTTAATTATTTCAAACAAATCCATGCACTTATTTGCTAAAGGACGGAGAATTCTGTTTGTACAGTGCTTTCAGTGTCTGGTGCTGTTTTATTCTTACCTTGTTATTTAAATTTAAAGTGTTGTTGTTTTTTTCTCCCTCCAGTCATTTTATTGGTGGGTTTTGATTTTACAAATAGTTCAGCAGGCGTCCTTAAAACTAAAAAAAACAAAAAAAAGAATTCAGATTTTGTTATTTCACGCCACCTACGTATTACTCGAAGCCGGAGATTTGTCAGCGTTAGCACGTGTTTAGCTTAAGTCATGCTGGTGTGAAGATAAAGCCTCAGAGAAGCGTCCAGCGCGTCCGTCACATGGAGACGCTGCTCGTTCCCAAACGGTAAAATAAACAACTCCGGGTGTGTATTTCAGAAGCTACAGAACTTAGAAGTGGTTCTGCCCTCTAGCATTTACAAGCCAAACAGACGGAAAGTGGTTTGCTTTAAGATCCACCTGCCTGGACCCGCCGATGCCCAGAGAGAGAGAGAGCAGGAGATGGAGGAGGAAGTGGTGTGTGGGAGTATGAGAGGCGCCCAGCAGGCCTGCTGCTCTCAGGGCTGGAGAGCCTGGGAGCGCCAACCTCCAAACAGACGCAGCTCTGTTTTCAGGAGGAAAGGCTCCAAGTGGACATGGCTGTGGCCCTTTGCGCTCCGAGTCTCACAGGTTTCAGAGAGAGAAGTGCCTACCAGTCAGTCAGACCGCCAGCAATAACAGAGAAACCAGCAGAAGCCTCTTTTGAAACAGAGACGGCCGGTGGAGATTACACGGAGTGTGTTGACACTGAAAGGATGTCAGTGTTCAACAGCCTTCTCTGGACTTCAGCACGGCTGTGTTTGGCTGTAGAACCTCAGCGGTCCAGAAGCAGCACCGGCACACACGTCCTGGTGTTCCCTCTCTGTTTGTCATCATTTCAGATGAATGCAGAGGAACCTCCATCAGTGTCTTTAAGGTTTTAATGTGGCTCCATGGACGATTCAGGGCAGCAAGCAGAAGAAACTATCAGCTTCATCCTCCATCTTCAGACACTCAAGTCCCGTAAGACCACAAGGAACATGCTTCTGTTCTCCACAGTAACGACTTCCACGTCTCGAGGGAGTTTCAGAGGTAGCAGCAGAGAAAGAGTAAAGCTTCACTCCTGGAAAACTCCCAGATCCACCGTGTGTGAGTGAGTTCAGCTGACCGGCAGCACCAGAGTGCAATATTAACCGGGTTCTGCATTATTCTGTAATCACGGTTTCAGAAAGGCCACGAGTCAACATGTAGCCCGAAAGTTTACATGTTGGACTTTATATTATAAAACAACAGCTGCCATGTGGAAAACTCTGTCTCCTGGCATGTAATAAGTCTGTCCTGTGTGGTGAGCGGTACCGGCTACAGGGGCCCAAACAGTTTTCCACCAAGTCCCCCAGAATCTAAAAACACTAAAAGGTTCCCAGTTAAATCGGTTAAAGCCTGAAGGAAAATACACGCAGTGATTTTGTACCTGATTTTCAGCGTAGAGACAAAAGCCAGGGCCCAAAATCATTCACGTTTTTGGCCCGATTTTTTTGTAAAATTACTAACATACCGAGATAAAGCAAGGAGATGAATCATCCTCCCTGTTTCCACTCTTTCTACAGCCTCTGCTCCCCGTTCAGCTTCATCAGGGTTTATACAACATCCGTTAGTGACGGAAACAGCAGATGAGGTTTACCACTGCGGTGCCGTGAGGTTGTGCACGTTTTCCTTTGTTTGCTGAGCCGGATTCAGGCCTAAAGCACAACACAGAGCTCCGTGGTCACAGAACCCGATACCGTGGAGTACACCTTGAGGCAGAGCAACCATTGCTAATTCCTTAAACTGAACCACATTCACTGTCCTCCTAAGAGAAGCAAGGAGCAGGCTACGATCTGTCAGCAGAGCAGATCACCCCCAAGTCACCCAAATCACATCCAGTTTTCACTCCCCGGCCCAAACGCCAGGCATGTGCACACACAGAGGACACGTCTCGGCACCGAGAGGGTATCCTTGCGAATGTGAACATGGGGCCCCCTGTGCTCCGGCCGAGGGGTTGGACGGAGGGCGAGCTGTGAGGGCGTCTGCTGTGTTCCGGTGTTCTGGGAAAAGGACAGTGCACACAGCTGCGCTCAGGGGGTAAATGCAAAACAAACATGCCTCACACATGCTTCCCTCTCAGCTGTCATGGCTCTGCTTTCAAAGATTCATCCCCCCATCACACACACACATTGCACTGTGCCTCTCCCTTCGCCTGCGTCCACCAGGCCAAAGCTGCAGCCGACGGGCCCGAAGCGCAGCCGCACGGCCGACCCAGGAAGGCTTTTTAATTAACGCTGAGCTATGTGGAGGCTGAGGGCTGCAGGATTGTGTGTCAGGATGGACGGGACCGTCTGTCCGACATCGAGCTGCTCAGGTTCACAGACGACAAACCGACTGTTTTCAGTGTCTTCTGCACATTTAAGGTTCATTGTTCTCAGATTCTGATCTTCAGCTTTCAGAAACCATGAATGCGCCCCTTAAAACCCCTGGAGTCACCAGCCCCAGCATCACCAGGACTGTTCTCACAAGACCAGCTTTACAATTAAAAAAAAACAAACAAAAAAAAAAACTCTCGAGTGATGATGTCATTGTCCACTTTTTTTCATTTTCTAATACTACTGAAGTCAGGCAATCAGTAAAGGAGTAACTAGGTGTTATATGTGTGCTGTTGTGTGCGTGTACAGTTTTGTGCATGCAGAAATGATTGAAGTGTCAGAAGACTCTTACTAATTTGATGCTCTGTTTAATTTTTGAGGCAATTTATCACGTTTTTGAGTTTATCGTTTTCTTAAATTTGGTGATGTACGTTATAATTGTATTTCCAGCGATGTGTTTGAACATCGTTTCTCCTTTGACATGTAATTCTTTTAAAGTTTTTTTAATGTTTGTGTGGCTTTAAGCTGTCTTTTGAAATGAGAGTATGAATTTACTCGTGCTTGTGTTACGGTTTGTGTGATTAAAGTTCAATAAGTTATTGCAATTTGGATTTCGGGATTAATTTCTGTTTCGTGCTTGATGAGAGGGGTGCAGGTAACGCCGCAGCTTCTCAGTACACCGAATATTACGCAGGAAAGATCACCATCACATCAGGACAGCTGTTCTACTATTTTGAGATCATTCGAGTCACTGCGAGGCTCAGGAGACGCCTTCCAAGGCATCGGCTACAGACGCTGGTTGGCCACCGCGAGCAAAGAAGTTGTCTGAGGTTGTTAAAAAACCAGTGAATTGGCTCCGTCCTGCCAAAACGTTGTGTCATCGCTGTAGTCGCATTGTGAAATCCCCGCGCATTTCAGTGCCTTTGAAGGGACACGAGTTCTGAAACGAGATCTCACAACCCACAAGAGTATCACACTAATTGAAGTTGACAAAAATACGAACTGCGCCCTTTTGAACTGCTGACATTGAACAGGGTGGATTAGGCAGCGTATATTAACAACAGGTGACAGGCTGGAGGGAGCAGCGGACGGGCCGAGGCTCGGCTCCGGACGCTCACACGTTCAACTAAAGGCAGACGAAAAAACAGCAAACGTCTCACTTCATCTTCCTCCCGCTTCACTCAAATGGGAAAAAAAAAAGAAGTTAAAACCCTGAGACATGTTAGTGTGGTCTTTACTTATCATGTATTACAAAGTCATATATACACGGGGATGCATAAAGTCAGTCCAAAAAAAAAAAAAAGAAATAATGTCACTGTCCTTGTGAAAACATTAAAAAAGGCAAATAAAAACAGCACAAGGCAATGATGACATGTTGAAGACTGCACCGTTCTGTGTTACAGCAGAAATACTGGATCTGGGACTACGATGAATGAAAAGCACAAAAATAAACAGACAACAGGTCAAATGGAAAAATATAAAAAAAAACATCCACAGCACCGGTCTTGAAAAATGTGGACTTTGGAATTGTCTATAGCACTACACAGTGTGTCCGCAGATATATGGCAAACAATTAATTCATTACTGCTTTGTTTTCTTACGTATTGTCCAAACACATAAAACGACTTTGTGGATGCTTCAATAAGCTTTTCTTATATATAGATATAGATATATTTATATTTATATATAAATACAAGGAAAGGCTTGGTCAGGCAGTATAAAATTACAATTCAAGATGTTCCAGTAGCTCAGCATCACTTTTTAAAATCAGCAGTTACTCACTCTAAATATTAGATTTATGGTACCAGCTTTGTCTGATGGTCCGATCTGATTGCGTAGAACAGAACATATTTACTGTACATCATCTGATCACATTCAGTTAAGCACTAGAAAAGCCTAAATAGAGTCATTGCCTATTTCCTATATATCATCTAAGGTACATCTTCATTACTTCTTTCTTTTCATATAGTACAGCTAAAATAGTTCCTGTCAGCTTCTGGAAAGAGGAAAAAAAAAGAAGAAGAAGAAAATAAAATTCTAGTTGGAGCATCATAAATTATAACTATCATACAGCACTGCTGCGAAATACGAATATATACACTGTATACGCTGATCCCAGAGCAGCTGGAGCCCACGGCTTCCAGCTCCGAGACAGCAACGGTGACGGACCACAAGCCTCCAGTCAGTCGGCCTGTCCATCACGTCCCAGACCCGGCGTGACCCTCAGCAGCACGTCATCACTCACCAGCTGGTATCGGTAAATGTTTGACAGTAAACTTTGAGCCAAATAAAGAAACTGCTCTCATCAAATTCAACAAAATCTCCAGGAAGTCACTTGAACGGAGAGCGCACGTGTACCGCTGAATAGTCTGAATACTGACATCTTGATGTAAGAAGACAATGTTGGTGACAAGTGTTGAAGTGCTGAGGCAGTGAGGAGGCCCAGACACGTGTGACGGCGGCTCACAGGCTGCCGATGTTGGGGAAGCTCTTGAGCTTCTCTGGAAAGTCGTCTTTGTAGAGCACCGGGTCTGCGCGGTGCTCCACCACCTTCAGAGGCATGGTTCCAAAAACCGACGCAAACTTGTTGATGCACTCAGATCTACAGGTGAAGAAACCATCGTTTACTTCATGTACATTTACTTAATGTTAGTATGTTATGTACAGTATGTAGAGGTTATTTACATTTCTGTTATTTGTATTCAAAGGTTCCCATCTCCTCCAAAGACATCTCGTTTATCATTTCTACGTTTTATATACGTTCTCTGACGAGTTATTTTCACGCAGTTTTCTAAACCCGTCTGTGTCCAACTTTACTTCAGTGACTGCAGATAATAATGAGACTTTCTTTTTGTATATTTTATAACCTGATGTTTTAAAATGAACAGACTGCTTTGAATTGAGTTTTATGTCATTGTTTGTGTTTGTTCCTGTTTGCTGTAGTCGGCTGTAAACCAGGCTGAGCAGATAAAGTCTGTAGTAGCAGGAAGAGAAAAGAAAGGAGGGAGAAAATGCAAATGCACTGTTGCTATATATGCACCAGTGTAGAAGAAACAAACCTGTAAACCTGCTGTTTATTACAGATGTGCTGTAATAAACAGCAGGTTGACAATCATGCTTTTTTCAAATAATTTTTTTCGAAAATGCAAATAAATGTAGTTTGAATTTGTTTTTATTGCTATAAATAAATACTAATACAGCCCTCGATTTAGGACTTTTGAAAATAATAAAAAGAGTTTAAAAACAGTAATATTGAAAACACTATCAGGTAATTTAAGGGGGGAGATACGTGTGCTTGACATTTCCTGCTACGGTCTGTTAGCACACAGATAAAGAACTAAACAGATTCTACTGAGCTCACTTCAGCCACCCTTCGCCAGACAAACCTCCTTACCTCTCCACCATGTGCGTCTGATCCAGGGACAGTCCATCGATTGCTGTACATTCGGGGCACTTGAACTTCTTCCTCGGGGTCACCTGAACAGAAGCAGAGTCACACCAGTACGGTCACCGTGTTGTTAAACCTCGACAGCACAGACAGAAGGTAATAAACCAGTCTGATGAAATGAGTCTGTCACATCCTATAAGAAGGTTTGTAAAAGACAACACATTGAAAAATGTCCTAATGCTCCTCAGTGGAGTGAGAATGAGATGATGAACGGCGTTCCTCAGTGGAACCTTTATCAACAGCAGTGAGCGCTCTGAACCTGTAAATGTGTTTGTAGAAGAAAATGAAAGACACACAGAGGAGGGAGGACAGACAGGGCTGGCCGAGGACGCTGAGTGTTTGCTGAGGGAACCTGTTGGAGATGTGGTGGGAGGTGGGACGCCGGGTGCAGCAGCAGTAGGGAAGCGTGCAGCCTGTGATTTGACGGCAGGGTGTGCGTGAGTCCCAGTGAGCGTAAGAAAACACACTCAGAGGGGGAGTGCCGGTGAGTGACACCCAGATAAGGGAGGTTAAGGTCGAGCTCGAGCTCAGGGCCCCTGCACCTGGGCACAGTCAGTGTGATGGGGCGGGGGAGAGGCAGCGATGTTGAAGGGTGACAGCTGATCAGACCCAGAGATGCAGCTCTGCTATGTCGGGCCGCAGCCTCCCACTGAAAGCTCTAAATCAGCCAGGGCTGTGAACGTACCTTTATGGGGGCTTTGCCGGTGATGTTCGCCACCAGGAAGTTCATCGCAATATCTTCACAGTTCATGTGAGCATCCACCCAGTTCTTGATGTCTCCTGGCATCTTGTACGTGTACAAATAGTTGAAGTACTGGAACAGACACACGTTTACAACATTGAGTAATGCAGACAGTTTAACATAGAGACCTATGAGTATGTAGGAGGAACCATCCATCCATTATCTATCCACCGCTTAATCCTTGGCGGGCTGGAGCCTATCCCAGCTGACTCAGGGTGAAGGCAGGTTCACCTGGACAGGTAACCAGTCTATCACAGGGCTACACTTAGAGACAGACAACCAAGCACACTCACATTCACACCTACGGACAATTTACAATCACCAATTAACCTCAGCATGTTTCTGGACTGTGGGAGGAAGCCGGAGAACCCGGAGAGAACCCACGCTGCATGGGGAGAACATGGAGACTCCACACAGAAAGATCCCGGGTGTCCTCACCGGGACGTGAACCGGCGACCTTCTAGCTGTGAGGCCATGGTGCTAACCACCTTGCAGCCCTTAATCGATAATGTCTTCTCTAAAACAAGTTCTCTGCATTCCTGCTCATGCAAAGTACAACCAGCAGCTCAAAGAGAAATGTCTTGACAAAGAGACAGAGGAAGAGCTCAAGCAGTCAGCCAGCCCTTCTCAGGTCACCTTGTGGTAGAAGGCAGCTCCAGTCAGAACCATGGACACCTCGTTGGTCCACTCCGACTCGTACTTCCACTTCCCCATCTCATGGTCCCAGAGGTGCAGCCGCCCTGGGTAGCCCACCAGCCTGTCTGGGAACTCTCTCCATACCTGCAGGACAGAAGACAGATCGTCTGACACATTCGGCTCAAGTGAAGCAAAGCATTGATGGATTACAGTAAAAGATGAGTGATGGAGACCAAGTCCCAGAGTTCAGAATGAGTTTCAATCTTAAATGCTTAAATTTGGAATAAAATAACGCAGTCTGATCCTTTATTTCTGAGCCAAAAGACACAACTCAGAGTCAAACACTGGAAAAACAAATTACAGAACAAAATACTTTCAGACAGAAAATTACTTTGAGTAGCTGAATTCTGGACAGACTGCTGGTGTCAATGGGCCTGGCACCAGCAGCCAATCTGATCCTGGCCCTGAAAGCCAGAAACCCCATCACCAATCAGACAGACAGCTCCTCTATCCTGCCCGTAACACCACGTAATTACCCCTCAATTGAGCACAATTTTATTAAATGGCTTCTAAATGGATTCAGGTGAGCGTGCCCAGCGCAGTCGGGCTGGACAGGTATGTAGGAATGGAAAGCATCAGCTCCAGACCTGTCATCGTTCTTCACACATCAAACACGTCCAGCAGAGAGAACCAGACTGTAATCCCCCTGAATGACTTTAAACTGTGGGATCAACTTGAAGTGGTTCCCTGTAATACCTGCCATCAGGGGAAGGATGGTT